TGAATTTTTATTTCAATAAACATTTCCATAGTATGAATGTTAATGATTGTTTACCGTTATACCCTTATTGATGAAATAAACTGAATTTTTATTTTTTATTTTTTTTTTAATTTCCATAAATAAAGCATACAAATCTTGACCATTGATCAAGAAAATGGATGGTTGAAATTGGTTTACACGGTTTACACAAATGGAGAGGGTTTTCATTTGAACGCTCCTCTATATATATATATATATATATGTAGGGTATATTTCAAATGCAACAATGTCTTTTTGTACAACCAATGCAACCCAATTAATTGAAATATCTATAGAAATGATGAGAGTTTATTTATTATGATTTGAATATTTATGAAACATGAATAGGGTTCATTAATTATGATCAATATTTTATATTAGGAAACAATCAAAACTTTTATGAAATCACATATTCATCAAATTAAATGGACGGTTGAGATTGGGTTGTATTGGTTGTACAAATGTAAAGGGTTGTATAATAACCAACCTCTATATATGTATATAGGTGGAGGTTCAAACGAGAACCCCTATGATTTACAAGAACCCCTATGATTTACGAGAACGCGAAAACAACCTAATAACCTCAAACTTTTTTATTTAATAAATTAACTTTTATTATATATAAATAATTTAATAAAAGAAGTAATGTAATTAAGTAATTTTTATTTTATTTTTAATTAACCATAATTATCCTATCACGTTTCCACGTTTTACTCTTGTTAGTTTTTTTCTTCTCCATATCACACCCATATCACATGATTACACCAAAAATTTAACTTATCAACCAAAACGATAACTCATGTTGTATAACGATGATTATCACACCCATATCACATGATTATCACACCAAAAATTTAACTTATCAACTAAAACGATAACCCAAGTGATGTATAACGGTGATTATCACACTCATATCACATGNTCACATGATTATCACACCAAAAATTTAACTTATCAACTAAAACGATAACCCAAGTGATGTATAACGGTGATTATCACACTCATATCACATGATTACACCAAAAAATTTAACTTATCAACCAAAACGATAACCCAAGTGATGTATAATGGTGATTATCACACCCATCTCACATGATTATCACACCCATATCATATGATTACACCAAAAATTTAACTTATCAACCAAAACGATAACCCAAGTGATGTATAACGGTGATTATCACACCCATATCACATGATTACACCAAAAATTTAACTTATCAACCAAAACGATAACCCAAGTGATGTATAACGGTGATTATCATACCCATATTACATGATTATCACACCCATATCACATGATTACACCAAAATTTTAATTTATCAACCAAAACTTTAACCCAAGTGATGTATAACGGTGATTATCACACCCCTATCACATGATTATCACATCCATATCACATGATTATCACACTCATATCACATGATTACACCAAAAATTTAACTTATCAACCAAAACGATAACCCAAGTGATGTATAACGGTGAATATCACACCTCTATTATATGATTATCACACCCATATCACATGATTATCACACCTAGTATAATCCTAACCTATCGAAACCATTCGAAATCGTTGTGATAATGTCTAACATAACCAATTGAAACCATGATCAAATCGAGTGACATTGATATCACATGAGTATCACGACTAATCGACTAAAAACTTATTCAAAACGAGTAATTTTGAAAGATACCTTGAATAAACTTCTTCTTGTTGTCCGCTTGTTGCATGCAATGGCTTCTCGATTAGGGTTCTTGGTCGATCACCGTGGATCAAGGTTTGCTTCGGTCGGTTGTTTTATGATTTGAAGTTATGAGTCTCATTGAATTTTTAATTGTTTACTAGATAATGATAAGGTTAATGATAATAATGATTGTGTTTAAAAGATTTGATGATATCATTTCCATTATTACCCTTTTAATTTTAATTTTTTTAATCTTTTTCAATTTCAATTTTAATTTTAAAAATCTTTTAATTTTATTTTTTATCACAATATGAGGTTATTGGGTTGTTCTCACGTTCTCATAAATCACAGGGGTTCTCGTTTGAACCCTATACATACATATATATATATATACATATATATATATATATACGTATGTATGTATGTATGTATGTATGTATAGAAAGAGAAGGAGGTTCAGGGGAAAATCCCAAAAATGAAAAACTGAGAAACATGCTAATAATCATTCATCTGGATGATATGCACATGTACATACAAGTAATTGAAGTTGTTTCTTGGTTTTTATGCACGGGTGCATATTATGCAAATGTGCATACCGGACAAATTGCATATGACCCCCCCCCCCCTCTAAATGAAAAACTGAAAAACACCTAATAACGGTTCATCTGTACAGTATGTATATGTATATACAAGTAATTGAAGATGTTTTTTGGTTTTTATGCATGTGTGCATGTTATGCACATGTGCATACTAGAATATTACTTACAAATTACTTGTATTGACATGTGCATACCATACTTGATGAATGGTTACAAGGAAATTTTTTAATTTTTTATTTTTTACGGTTTTCCACTAAACCCGACCCTATGTGTTTATGGTTTTTTTTTTTTTTTGGGGGGGGGGGGGGGGGGAAGACCTACACAAGTTTGGTGGTTCTCGAATGGTAATATAGCCATTGACAACTTCTTACTTAATCTTTAATTTTTTTAATAATCTCATAGGATCCTAAAGTTAATGACAGACAAACCTCAAGTGGCCAGTGGCTCTACAAGACTCGTTGACAACTAACACGCAAACCTAATATCTTACTAGTTAAACTACCAAAACTTAAAAAACCAAACTTCTTTATTTTGTGATGACCTCTTTCTGTTAAAGTAAACTCTACATTTATTTTCAAAAACAACATTTGGGCAAACTTTAATTTTCAAATTTATTTTAATTTAAATTATTTGTATTTAACAACTTAAAGTGGACCCGATATCACTTGAATTTACTTCGTTATAGTAAAGGCTCCAAGTTAATCTTAAACATCCCTTGATCAAACATTTTCTTCATATCTCGTCTTTTGGAAAGCATGATCTCCAAGCTTATAGTTTACATACGCAGATGAAACTTCACTGACTCCCCTTGTTTGTTTAGTCCAATATTCGGGTCTATTTGAAAATAGCTAGAATACATTTACCCTTATACCATTTTTCTGCAGACATATGAGTTTTTCGATGGAAGCCTCTCGGAACTTCTCCGTAATGGCTCCCTTCCATGCCTCATTTCACCCTTTGGAGCACCCCACTAGTCCCATGGTCATCATGGGAGAGGAAAATCGCATTCTTTTGACTTGTAGGTTATGCCCAAAATTGAAAACCGAGACCTCTCATTTGATTATCCACCCACTTACCAAAACATTATTCAAAAACTTGCACTATAAAACAAAGGGGCTTCACCGACAAAAAAACATATGTTGGTATTCTGTCAGAAAAAGCCATCATCAACGGATTACATACAAATATCACGACCGGAAAAAAAAATGGTCGGTGATCGTGATTACCTATGGATTCACCGCCAGATTGTAGTTCACTAGTGGAAAAATCCGTCCGTAGTTCACTAGTGATCCGTCGCAAATTTGTTGGAAATTTCTAGTGGAAGAATTCCAGAGTGAAACCCTTTTTAGTTGTTACAAGTTGACCCAAAAGTGGAGTCTTTACATTCATCAATAAGAAATACAGTCGCGGTTATATATTTCAAAATACTATGCTTCCAATCTAGTGATCGAATCAAAAAGTATTTGATTTCTTCTGGTAACCTCTCTCTTTCATGATTGTATTATCTGCATATTGATTCTTATTGGTATCCCTAAGAAATTGAATCGAAACGACTCTGTTAACTAAGTGGCCGTTTAACAAATACTTACCCGGTAACTGCTTACCAATAAAATTTAACACTATTATTTACTTATTGGGTAAGATTTTAATCAATTAAAACATCGCATGCAACAATTTACCCGGTAAATGCTTACCGTGATAAGAGTCGTCCCCCCTCACTTACCTGGTAAGACTCTTTGGTCCTTGTCTCGCTCTTACTGGGTAAGATTCTTGGTCTTTACCATATTCATCCGGTGAGGTAATGTGACTTGGTAAGTGTTTGTTAAACGGCCCCTAACTACAGATATCAGTATCAGATGATTACTTGCAAGTTTTAAGAAGTCGTTGCTATTTAATTACAATTTTTAATAAATTTATTTCATATCATTTATATATTTGTGTTAATTTTATTAATTCATTGCTTATTGCTATCACTATTTGAATTCAAAACTAATGTTTGTTCATTTATTGTGAAAAGACAAAGATGCTTCTCAAATAATTTCATTTATTGAGGTCTGGGCCTTAAAACTTGTGATTCAGATACCCTTGACCTTGAATGATATATAGACCAGAAACAAAAATAAAGCAGAGCTTTGTAGTTGCAAGAAACAAGTTCAAGACTGATTGTTTATGCATTTCAGTTTCAGGAATAGAAAATTGAAGATCAAACAATAAGATGAATACAGATGTAATGACACAACGATATTCGCATGATCAGAAAGCAAGTCCGTCTTCACGAATTCTTCTATCAACTTTTCTCATTCTTTGTGGCGGCCAGATCACGTGAGTAACTCTTCCATGAATCAATCCTAACGGAATCTGAAAATAAACGTAAACCGTATTATACTCTTTTACAGGTTTCTAAGGATTCTTATGTATGAAGGTGGTGTCCTCAAACGTTATGGATCTTGCAAAAGTTCATTTAACCGAATGACCTGGGCTTGTGAAAAGTGTGAAAGAGAGAGAGAGACTTTGAGAAGCTCGTTATAAGTAATAACATACAAAAATATACAAGAAAAACATAAGCAAGGTAAGGCATTAGTGCGAAATAATTTACAAAGTTTAGCAGAGTTGGTACTAGGAACTCATATTTACGATCCTCTAGATGCCCTTGGTCCTACGAAAACTGTCACGATGAACCCAACAGGTTATCTAACATGGGTTTGACTAAAGTGAAATGTCAAACATACCCTTCAAATGGGTAACTCTTATAATGGAACAATATGAATGCCATCAATCATTTGTAATGATAATGATAGGCAATTCTGCCATAAGGAAAGCACTAAGGTATTTAAAATGAAAATTGTTGCAAATTCATGGGACGGGGCGATCACACCGTTATTAGGGGTGTTCAGCGGCTGGCTGGCGACTTGCCTTTGCAATCTGATCTGGCTGAGGAACAATCCAAACAGCGGCAGCAACAGTAACCCAGGTAACAAGCTTCGACTTATTGGATCTTAAATATCTCTCTCAAATTGATGGAGAAAAGATTGCAGTGGTTTGCTCACACTCCAATGAAAAGGATAGAAAGTGTGACAGTTGAGGGGCGAGGAAGGCCAAAGAGGACGTCGGATGAGCGACAAAATTTGTATATGGCGGCTTTAGGCATTTCCAAGGACATGGCCTCTAATAGGAGTTCTTGAAGATGGGGACTAGAGTAGCAGACTAGGGTTTACAGGCTGTGTTTTCTTGTACATGTTTTATGTTTGAATATTGTTGCTAACTCCTTAATAGCTTTTCAAAATTTATCGTATGTGCCTTTCTTGTCTCAAGTTCATCTTCTTCCAAGTCTTGTCCTTTTTATATTTCCTCAATCTTTTTGGACTACCTATCTCTCTTTCACACACTTTTCGCAAGCCGGGGTCTTCATTGAAAGAACCATTCTACTCTTCAGAATACATCTTATCCCCACCCCACCTCTTGGTGAGATATACCTTGGTCATTTTGGCTTGGTTTGGTTTGGTTTGGTTTGGTTTGTGAGTATCACTGTCGTGAGCTGTTTATATGTGAATTGGTTCACTCCACAACTCCGTCGCTATGCACTTATGGAACATGGTGACAGTTGAGCAACTCCTATGACGTCACCCAAGTAACTGGTAGAGTTGTAACACAGTTATGCTTAACTGACACTATGGCATGCGATGGATCTTAATCTTGCTGTCAAATCATCTTCTTCTCCAATGATGCCATCTTCGTGCTCCTTATTATTATGTTTGATATGTGGGTAGAAAAATGAAAGGGTACAAGGGATAAGACAGTCTCGGCCATCTCGCTCCTAACACGTTCAGCCACGCAGACCTAACTATAATCGTTCTCATTTTGATTGGAGGAATATAGTTGATGAATGGAAGGATCAAAACAAATTGGGTGCTCTCATCGGCACTCACTGGAACACGGCCACATGATTAATGCCTACAAACATTCTGAGATGAAAGGGATGGCAAGGGTGCAACAGCCATGGACTCCCAGGAGGATGAACCCGAATCCAAGGAACAAACCCAATGCAGTCAAACTGCTTGAGAAATGTAGCACACCACTGATACCAATACACCGTTCCAACAAAAAGAAAAGAAAATATACGAAAACCAAATATCTGGCACACCCACATGTTTCTACAAGTGGACCTTACATGTAGAAGCTACGATGACCCTACTCTATATTGTAACAAAACACCTGTCACACACCACCACTGTAGCATGTAATTTTTTGATGATATAAGTTTGTTTGCATCAGTTACATATCTTCACACACAACGTAGCCCCAGACAATATAGACATACTCATTTTACCTCTAAATGACATCTAACTTGATCGTGAGAGGCTACTCCTAAGACGAACAACATAGGAGGCCACTAGCTCTAGACTCGCACGTCCCCAATCCGTGGAGCTCAACAGTCAGCATAATCATCTATGTTTCTTTGGGACACCTCACACCATCAATTTTTCTTATCGTCCAAAAATTTCTTCAATGTTGAGCATTAGTCAAAAAAGGGTGAGCAATTTCACGCCACGAGTTAAAGAAAGTGCAGTAGCATTTTGGGCCATTATAAATGGCACGGTCTCTAAATAACCAACATATTTGTGAAAATGCAATAAAAAGATTCACGTGAAGCAGAAAGTAACAAAATGAACACTACACTCGACATAAATAGCAAAAATAACACAACAGTACAAGAGTTAAGTTGGTTATTTTCTGCCAACTGGAGGTCTAGTTATCTTTTGCATATTTTGATTCATGTGCCATGGTTTGAAATGCTAACCGCTCCTTTAAAAAATGGCTGAAAGATGGAGGAAGGAGCTAGAGATGGCAACCATCTAATACCCTATGGCACTCACTTGTAGTGATAGAATTGTAGCATTATGAAGCATCAAGTTAGTATAAAGCTGACATACCGGGCCAAATGATCTTGAATCAAAGCTAGAAGCTGAATTATCTCCCTCAACCCAGCAATGTCCTTCAGGGACCTTTGAAGCACCATTCACATTACTGATATAGTCACCTTCCATGGCGACTATTCTTTTCACACATCTCTCCTTGTAATTAGTTGGGGAGCTGCAAAACAATAGGATCTACATTGGCATTTGGAATCATCATCTATGTAGGGATGAAACTAAATAGCAAAACATCAAGCTATCAAAAGAAAGTATAACAACATTTGTATTTAATTAAATGGAGATACATTTGACTCCAGTTCAAGCAAACTTCAAAATATGGAAATTTACAATGTTTAGCATGTAGAGTTTAATGAGATGTCAAACTTCTCTTGAAGATTTTTACCAAAAACCAAGGCTTCTTGGCTTCGTGAAAGTTGGGGAAGGAGATCTTTATACACAACATTTCTCCTGTATTTCATAAAGACGCAACTTTTTTCACCCACACCCATGGCCTTTGGGTCGAGGGAGCAATTGCCCCTACAATATGATGATCACCAAGGATAAAGGAACATGTTTGTGTTAAACTTATATCAAAATCTATGTAGTGCCTGAAAGAACACTGATGTACACCCGACTAAAACAGTAAAAGTCAATGATAAATCTGGTTGGTTGTATTACTCACAATCGAATACTTACAATAGGGTTTCTGGCTTTCGAGAGGCCAGAATCTCTCCACAGGACTCACGCCCAAAAAGTGTTAACCAAAATAGAATGCGCACATACTGGACCCTCACGACTTATTTATACTTGGGCATATGCAATACCAACTTGTACGCTGTAAGCAATACCTACTTGTACCACTACTAACATATTGCACTATCACTACCAATGACAAGCCTTTTAGTTGGAAGTATTGGCAATCTGACCACCCTTTTCAATACTAAGGGGGCGTTTGGTTCGTAGAATGGAATTCAATGGAATTGGAATTCATCAAATGAATTTGACTTTGAGGGAATTTGATGGAATTTGACCATGTCTTTTGATTGCGTTTGGTTGGATGGAATTGGAATGGAATTCTTAACCGAATTGGAATTTTTTTGTTTCGTTCACGGAATTCAACGAGAAAATTACAGGCAAAAAAAACTGAAACCGAAACTTTCGGGCTGGGTTTGGGGACATCTTATCGGGGACGGGGCAGGGATCGGGGACAAATTCGGGGATTTTAACGGGGACGGGGGCGGAGACGGTGATCATCGGCCCGGCCCGGCTTGATATGTGTGTATATATTAATTTTAATTTATATAAATATATATATATATTTACATATATATAATATATTAAATTCGGAGATTTTAACGGGGATTTTTAGATCTGTTTCGGGTTTCTGTTTCGGGTTTTGGTTTCGGGTTCGGTTACAACCAACGGTGAACGGTAAAAAGAGGATTTTTACCTTCACGAATTCCCCAACGGGGATCGGGGAAACCGCAGAACCCGATAAGATCCCCGACGGGGATCAGGACGGTCACGAGGATACCAATAACCGTCCCAAACCTGGCCCATTGTCATTCTTAGTTTTAAACGAGGTCGAGCAAAGGAGATCGAGCATAGCAGAACAGAGCAAATCGAGATACAGCGTCGATGAATGGATGAGGATAAGAAATTTGTCGGATTGGAATTTGAAATCCGTGGTATATGCGGTGGAATTGTGAAATCAATGAAATAACGAATTGGATGGAATTGGAAGGATTCCTTCACATCTATTATGTGAACCAAACATGGGATTTGGAATTTGGTCAAAGATTTGGCCATTCCAATTCCACCAAATTCCATGAACCAAACACCCCCTAAGACTTGATTTGGATTCCTAACCCCAAGAGTAGATAGACAATTCCCAAAAGAAAACTGTGCAATTGAAATTCTTAGCAAGCACTTACAAACTCCACAGTTTGACAGCCCGATCCCTATAGGTGGTATGAGGCTGCTCTTTAATGGATGATTTCGACTGCGTAGGTAACGCAAAAATTCGTACCTTACCACTTGCCATAGTTGAAGGTGGTGAATAAGAGCCTAAAGCAGATGCATGTCTTGAACGGCACCACAGAACTGTGTGCATCGGTGGTCATCAATGCACCGACAACCACATTTGAAGATGATTCCACATGTGTAGTATCTAACTTTAACACTCCACTACCCCTCCCTCTTATTATGCTTTTTGAAGGCCCTCCAAAGATGTTAGTCGCAAACTGGGGCATATCTTGTGCATCAAAGCTAGCAAGTTGGATACATGTATTCGCAGAAACTACTAGAGTTGTGTTGCTACTCATTATAACTGCCTTATTTCTAAACTTGTTATTTCCTGGTCCTACCGGATTAGGTTTTCCATCTACCATGGTAAATGATTGTTTATTCTCGTGACTCTGCAGCCTCTTGCCATTAAGTATCAATCGATTTACCACAAGTGGTGGTGGTGGCTGTCGTGGTTTGGGCAACGGTGGCCTCTGCAGCGTTGGTGATAGCAGAGGTGGCAATTTCCTAAGATTGTCACTTGCACCCATCACCCCATACACTGAGAATCAGTGATCAATACCGACCCTGTAGAAAAGTTGAAAGGTCGCTTCAAGTTTGGCCCAGGCTTAGGCATAATTAAACTGTGGAATGGGCTTGGGTCGCCGTTAAATCATTGAAACAGGCTTTGTTCACAACTCTGCCTTCATTGAAATGTGCCTTTATTGGCTATTCATCAACACAGAAAGGATAGACGTGTTTCTCACCAACCTTGCAACAAATCTTTGTCTCTAAAGACGTCACCTTTTACGAATTTGAGCCCTATTTTCCCAGGCCTCATCTTCAGAGGGAGACCATGAGTCCTTAAATGGTCTCCTCAACATTGAAGGTGTTGAAAATCAGGAAATCCAACACAATGCTCTAATAGTTCCCATCCCAGAAAATTCGTTCCTAGAAACACCACACCTGTCCCCGAATGTCCCTGAATTTGATGGACCTGATTTGCTTGTTTATTTGAGGAGACATCGCTCTACCAGAATGCATATATCAACGACTTTGGATTGCCAAGAAGTTGTTCCCGAAAACTATTTTGAAAATGAACAACCATTAATTGCTGTCTCGGACACCACAGGTCATGAAAATCTCCCAATTGTCCTTCGAAAGGGAGTCTGATCATGTACAAAGCACCCTATTTCCAGCTTTGTGTCCTATGAGAAGTTGTCTACTACACATAGAGCATTCATCACTCATTTGGATCAGGATGAAACTCCAAAAAACATAAATGACGCTCTTCAATCCTCAAAATGGAAGAGTGCCTTCTTGGAAGAACTAACAGCCTTGAAATATAATGGAACATAAAGACTAAGTGACCTTTCAACAAGGAAGAAGACTGTGGGATGCAAATGGTTGTTCACCACCAAATACAACAGTGATGGTAGCATAAACAGGTACGAGGCAAGACTTGTATCTAGGGCTACACTGAAACGTTTGACATTGACTATCAAGAGACTTTTGCCCCTGTTGCAAAACAAATATTGTTAGAGTTTTACTCTCCCTGGCAGCTAACCTTGATTGGCCTCTAATGCAGTTGGACGTTAAAAATGTGTTCCTAAGTGGCGAACTCAAGGAGGAAGTTTATATGAATTTTCCCCCTGGTTTTGAAAACCCAAAGGGAAAGTGTGCAGACTAAAGAAATCACTTTACGCGCTAAAACAATCACCGAGGGCATAATTTAGCCAATTCACTCAAGCGGTAACAAGTAGAGGATACAGTCAAGGACAGGCAGATCACTTGGTGTTCTTCAAGCACTCAGAAAATGGTAAGATCTTAATTCTTATCGTATACTTTGATGACATAATCATGACAGGAGATGACTTGGAGGAAATCAACCAACTAAAAACCTACCTCAGCTCGGAATTCGAAATGAAAGCCCTTAGACCACTCAAATACTTCCTAGGAATGGAAGTTGCAAGAAGCCAAGAAGGGATCTCCATTTCACTTTACTAGCAGAGACAGAAATGATGGGATGTAAACCTGCTAGCGCCCCAATGGAACCCAAGAAACTGGGAGCTGAGGAAGATAAGCCCAGAGGTTGACAAAGAGAGATATCAAAGACCAGTAGGAAAACTCATCTATCTCTCTCACACAAGGCTTGATATCACTTTTGTTTTTAGTGTTATCAGCCAATTTATGCACTCCCCAAAGGAGAGACACATGACAGCAGCCTATAGAGCATTGAGGTACTGAAAGGGGATCCCTGGAAAGGACTGCACTTTAAGAAAGGACAAAACAGGTTTATTGAATTATTCACAGATGCTGACTGGGTAGACGCTGCCACAGACGAACGCTATACCAGCGGATATTGCAATTACATTGTGTCTCGAAGCATTGTTGAGTCAGAATTCAGAGCAATGGCACATTGTATATGCGAAAGAATATGGCTGCAACGACGAATGGAGAAGCTACATTTACCGTTCAAATCCCCTATGAAGTTGTACGACGATATAAAGCAGCAGTAAGCATAGCTCACAATCCTGTTCACCATGACCGAAATAAGCACGCGGAAGTAGATCGGAATTTCATCAAAAAAACTTGACTCCGAAAGAGTGTGCATGATTTACTTACCCACAACACAGCAAGTAGCCGACATACTGACAAAAGACCTTACAAGGAGATTATTCTAATATCTTAGTTGCAAGTTTTGCATGATTGATATATACACGCCAACTTGAGGCAGAGTGTTGGAATATTTGTAGAAAATCAAGTTAGAGATATCACATAATCTTTGTGCTGATTCTTAGGGAATCAATTATCTAATTATTAATTCTCCATTTATTAGACAGATTTGTATTATATTTTAGAGGTTGATTTATAAGAGCCATTACAGTTTTGCTTGTGTAAAAATATGTACATTGTATTCATGTTGGAATAGACATCTTTTCTCTCATTGAATTCTTATAAGATTTTATGGCTAGAAATGAAGTTGGGAACGATTTCTCAAATATATGGCAGACTAGAAGGCATAGGACCAAAAATTTACAGAAACAGTAAAGTGATAGTTCACCCTACTTCAACTACATGTCTGATTTTCTTTTCTACTCTACTATTTTGTGTAAGTGCATGACAATCTATGCAACATTTTGAAAGACACAAGAATTTTCTATAACAGCCTAAATTCCCCACTCCATTCTCATTGAACCAGTTTAACTTTTGGAATCAAATTGTGTGCTCACCATTTGCTTAATAAAAGGAATTTTGAAAGAAATTCATCTTTGGCTTTCAACAAATATAACCAATTAAACCTAGTGTTCTCATCAACAAGCAACAAGAAACAACGATAACCATTCACAAAAATAAGAGGAGATGCACCTCCACAAGTTGATATGTATTAACTCGAAAGGAGCTAAGACTTGAGAACGAGCCAATTGAAAAGGGATTCTATGATTTTTTGCTAGATGGTAGGAATTACATAAATTAAACTTAGAAGAGCGAGGTGCAGTAATTTTGCATGTTCGGAGAACGTCATCAACAACTGGAAGTGGAAGTGCAAGATCGCCCAATCTCTGATGCCAAATATTTGATTCAGTGGAGTATGTGAAGAAAGTTTGAGGTGACACTAATGGATGACATGAAGCTGAAAGAGAGAGATCGAAAGATACTCTATGTAAGCCTCAAGAAGTCATTGGAGGGGGATTTTCTTGCTAACATGATCCTCCACAAGAAAGAAATCGGGTGAAACTCAAGAAAATATCATATTGTTATGGCAAAGTTGGTAACACTAATGAGATTATGTGATAGAGAAGGAGAATGCAAGATGGTGTTAAGAAGTAGGGAATTCGAATTGGTGATTAAACTTTTACAACCAACATGAGAAATTGAAAGTCGCTAACCATTTCCAACTGTCACATGCTCATATCCATGATAATATGAAGCTAAATCCAAGGTATGATAGTCAAGTGTAAAGTGATGAGTGGCTCCCGAGTCTAGAAACATGGGGAACGATCACATGGTAGGTGGATGAGATATAGGGATATGATGGTGGTGCATCATAAGTGCTAAGGTTTTGAGGGTGAAGATCGGTTGGTTCAGTGATAACAATGGAGGGTGGTCGTATCACGTCTTTGTACAAGTATGACACAGTGTTTTTGTTGATTTGAGAAGTGCGACAGGTAAGATGGACGGGAACGCCAAGGCACGGAGTTAGGATAACCAGGGGAGGGGGTTACCTAAGGGGCTTGCCTAACACGCTAGGCTGTGAAATAGTGATCAAAACCTTTGTGAGTTGTTGCGCCTAAATTGTTTTTTAACGGGGAAAGGTTGAGATGAATGTGTAAAGGTTTGCTTGGGTTAGATCAAGTTGCTCAACAACATATTGGCTCTCAATTTGAAAATCATAACTCATTAAAAGAATGGGTACCTCTTCAATTGAAGGCTTGTTAGACTAATTATAAACAAAAGCAAACAAAGGGTTATATGCTCTTACAGGTCCTCCAAACAAATATCTTAGAGCATCTCTAAAAGCTATCTATAATAGAGATTTTGGAGATTTAGGGTGTATTTTTGCTCCAACGGCTATGCTATAACATATGCTAAAATAGAGAAAACAAAGAGAGAGATGGTAGAAATCTCCAAATTTGGAGAAATCTCTAAGGTCCCGTTCGGTTTGAAGGATTGGAATGGATTTGGAGGGATTAGGAATTGAATTCCATTCAGATCCCATGTTTGGTTTAAAGGATTTCTAGGATTTGAAATCCCGGGATTCAAATGAAATTCCAAAACAAGGGATTTTGAAATCCCAAGGGGGTGGTTGGTATTTGACGGGATTTCGTAAGATTTGTATGTAATAATGTTTGAAAATATGTTAAAAACATTTTTCAATAATCCCTTAATAAAAAATAATTTAATTATTTATAATTTGTTTTTATATATTATTTTTAAAGAATGGAATTCAATTCCATTCCAAATCCTACAAACCAAACACACAAAAGATTCCAATTCCAAATCCTTCCACGAAATCCCAATCCTCAAAACCATTCCACCAAACCAAACGGCCCCTACAACTTCATATTTAAAAGAGAGAAATAATATTGAATTCTTTCTCACCAATAGGAGACATTGAAATCAAGTGTTTAGGAGAGAGAAATAATATTTTATTAAATATATTGAATATTTTAATAATATAGTTAATGATAAAATTGCTAAAATGGAGTAGTTGTTGGAGTTCAATGTGTTATTTTTAGACATTTTAACTTTTGATACTCTATTTTAAAAAAAATTATAGCATAGTTGTTGGAGATGCTCTTAGATGGTCCTCTCTTGACAGTTAACACTGGCTCTCCTATGCCAAACTATTCCAGATTCCCATCTTCAGAGATTGAACAGAAGTGCGAATTCTTGTCAACCGTGCGATAAAAGTTGAAGAGTAGATCTGGGTAAGTGCTGACCAGATCTCATGAATCATGAGTTGTTGTGTTGTAGGTGACAAATTTAGGTCAAAATAGGTTGATGCCATTGGATGTAGTTAGTCAATCTCAGATGAAGATTTGTTGATGAGTTTCGGAGGTTGTGACTTGGGTCCATCTAGGTATTCTTCTAGACCTTGAGCAATAAATAGTTAATAACATTTATAAGTTGTTTTTTCTGGTGTAACGTCAAAGTACTTTGGATCATTTTGACCGCGAAAGGTTGATTTAGGAAAGGAAAGGGAAACTTTGAAGAAGATGAGATCATGAGATGTGTATCAATGACTCTATGGAGGTGTGAGTCTTATCAGTTTGTGGTGCCATCATTGAGCGATTCTGGAAGAAAACCCTAGACCTGGTGTTACATGTTACAGATAGGAATATTAACTCGTGAGGAAAAAGACGATTCAAGGCCTTGATACCATGAAAAAGCGAGAAGCAAAGAGAAACCTTTTCTTACTTTTTTCATTCTGGAAGGCTGCTACAAACAGGATATATACAGTACAATAAACCAACGAGCACAATATCCCACCAGAGGTGGGGTCTGTGAGGGGTAAGCTGTATGCAGATCTGGTCTCTACCTCAATAGTAGAGCGGCTGATCCCGTGAACATCTCCGACTTGTGAAAAGAGTGTGAAAGGGAGAAATGCATATAAGATAAACTTTGAAAAGCTAGTTACGAGTAAACAACAACAAACAAGTATAGGCAGGTGCAGAAAAACAAGCAATTGTTGCACATCTTACCCAGCTTCTTTCCATTAACATTTATAAGAATCTTTAACCATTTAACCTTTGATCCTTGCTTCTTAGGAAACATAGCAACATTCTAGATGTCTCCTATAGTATCTGCAAGAATACGATCTATTGAAGGTCTAAAAAATGCCAAATCCATACAACAATATTGTTCCTTCATGAAGCTAAAAATGCTAGGTGAAAAGCCAAGAAAGAGAGAATACATACCTGAAAATTACTACATCACCATGTGAGAACTTGTATTTGTCAAGGCAAAATTTCTCCAAGAAAACATAATCATCTGCAGGGATATTAATCATTAATGTGCCACATGTACCATCCGGAACACTGATTAGAAATATTTTGCTCTACAAAAACCACCTGTAAATGATCCCAAAGAAGGATTAAACGTTGGAGACATAGATGAACCTCGGATAGGGCATACTCCAGCATAACGGTCTGTTAAAGTGATGCCCACAAGCCCGATAGTTAGATACTTCTTACACACGTTCCAAATAATATTCTTGGTTCCCATATCCGTTATTACTAAATCCAAAATAAATGCAAACTTGAAAACTGAGATATCTGCACAGGAGAACACAATAATTTAACCACATTTGTGACTTCTGATTGCAATCCTCATATTCTCCCTATTGTTCAACTAGTAATGAAGTTCGACTTACATATAGATAATTGAAATGAATGGATATATTCCCTTCAGAAACCATAAAACCCCTTTGGCTTTTATATACTCGGTTGAAAACAATACATATTAATTTTTCAAGATAAGCAGAATACTTTTAACTTAAAATTTGAGATAAATCATTTAAATACATCATATATGAAACCATAATTACACTAAATTTAATACAGCTACAAAATTCGATACAAAAATTACAACAGGGTCCATGTCAATTTTGAATTTGACATCAAAAGACAAATATACATCATTTTTGTAATGGATTGAGAATAGACTTGGTTAAATTTAGGGTCTTGTTATGATGTTCATTGCAAAAGGCGTATAATCTGGAGAAAAGCACAAAGAATAGAATTTCAGTTCGTAACCAAAAAACACCAAACCAAATAACAATATGAAGCAAAAGAACAGTAAGGCTGAAAACATAAATTTGAATAGGGTTCTGGTATTCTTATATTGAAATTATTCAAACATATATGCAACAGAAGGAGCATAAGGTGAAAAATGTAACGATCTGAATTAGGTTTCGTAGTCTTACACCGAAATTGATCCAATACATATGGCAGATTAGAATCACAGGGTAAAAATGGAAAGATTTTCATTGGGTTTTGCAGTCTCATACTGAAATTAATCAAATACGAACTGAAGCAGAAGAAGAATCATAAGACCGATAGAAAGATTTGAGAGAGTTTCGTACATTTGTAGTTCTATACTGAAATTAACAACAAAGTACACGAAACAGAACGAACTGTAAGGTGAAGAGTAGAGAGATTGTAGTCGAGTTTTGTAGTGTAATATCTAAATCAATCAGATATACTAAATTAAAATTTCATAGGTTGAAAGATAAAGGGATTCAAACCTTACTTCTGCAAGTATTGACGAGGAAAGGAAACACCAAAAGGGGTTCCAGAACAGTCGCCGGAGTTTGTAAAAGAAAGATGTGTAACAAGTAAAACCGTTTCAGCAAAGTCGGAATATTTTGCTCAAAAACCCGACCAACAAATCCAATCCACCACGAAATACCATAATAACTCGCAGCAATCGGATGTTCTAAAATTATTTGAATCTAACTCAACCAGAACTTGATAGGGTTTAGTATCATACTTTCATAATTTTTTTATTATAGTATTTTATTTTTGTTTTTTCTCGTATTTTAAAAAATCTACTCATTAGAGCAACGGGTAATCTATTATTTTTAGAACTGGTTAACCCTTGATTTTTTTTTGCTTGTATGGCTTTAATGAGGTGAGGTGGATAACACGTCATTTTGATGACTTAACTAAAATAAAAATAAAAACTTATTTCAAATTATTGTTAGTGATTTTTATTTTTTATTGCTATAATTTAAAAAAATATTTAATTTTTTGATTTTTTCTTATTAAGTTACATGCAAATTAAATATTATAGAGTAAAATATTTTTCTTAAATAAATATGCTACATTATTTTTTAGATATATTTTGTTTGTAAAAAAAGTAACACATCTTATTTTATGTTGTTCAAAAAAATACATATCTTTTAAAGTTCTCTGTAAAATGTTAATAAAATAAATTGTGTTCTATAATTTTTAATATTGTTATATTAGTAAATAATTCAAAAAAATCAAATTAATTTAATATATTTATACGTCAAGTAAAAGTTTTTGAACAAATATAATATATTCTTTAAAAGATAATATTTGTTGGTAAAAAAAGAACCATTCTTATTTTCTTTTAAAAAAACATATTTTTTTTTAAATATTAGAGAGATAAG